TCTTTCTTTTTAAAAAAATTTTATTTATTTATCTTTAGAAGGGAAGGGAAAGAGAGAAGAAGAGAAATATCAATGTATGGTTGCTTCTGGTGCATCCCCTGCTGGGAACTGGCCTGCAACCCAGGCATGTGCCCTGACGGGGAATAGAACCACAATCTTTTGGTTCACAGGCCCGTACTCAATCTACTGAGCTACACCAGCCAGGGCATCCCTTCACCTTTTTCACCCAATCCCCCAACCCACCATCCATCTGGCAACCATCAGTCTATTTTCTGTATCTATGAGGCTGTTTTTGTTTTCTTTGCTCATTTATTTTGGTTTTTAGAATCCATAAATAAGTAAAATCACACTGCATTTTTCTTTCTCTGTCTGAATTATTTCTCTTAGCATGATACTTTCTTGGTTCCCCCATATTACCACAAATAACATTTTTTTAAAATATTTTATTTATTTATTTTTAGAGAGGGAAAGAGAGGGAGATAGAGAGGGAGAGAAACATCAATGTGAGAGAGAAACATTGATTGGTTGCCTCTTGCACACTTCGTGAGCAGAGTATTCACCCCAGCGGGATTCTGGTGCCTGTGGATATCACCCTTTAGGTGTGCTGTTTGTGGATCTAATCAGGTGGCGCTCTATTTTGGTCTGATGCTGGCCACAGTGTGTTGATTATGGGTTTCTTAGGAGGGTTGCCAGTGCAAACTGAAGCTAGCTACTGACTTTGCCTGGCCTGAAGCTACCTGTTGAAAGTTACAAAGTGATCTGCAGTTGGTAGCTGCCCGAGCTGGGACTGGAGGCCCATGGGAGAGGCCATGCTGTGAACCAAGTTGGCTGGCATTGTCAGGGCTTGCCGCTGCTCAGCAAGAGGCATAGCACACACTGAGGTTAGTCACCACCTTCCCTGGGTCTGAAGACCTTTGAGAGTTTTTAGGAAAGTCTTCACCATGAGCCATAGCCAGATGACAGTGAAGAATAACTGATGAAGAGGATTGGGTGGTGTAGGAGTTGGGTGAGGCAGAGTTACCAGGGTGGGAAAAGCAGTGTTCACCTGGATAATGCAGATTCAAATATGATGCCCACCTGTGTTTCAGGCTGTATGGGGGGAGGGCTCAACACACAAATAATGGCAGGTGTCCTTCCTGCCCTCACACTGAAGACACACATTTCATTTTCCCTCTGTGTGTCTTTGGTACCTTTTGAGCTGCTGTCCCTTCCCTGGAGCTTAGGGTTATGGTGTGTAAACATGTGAATCCATGGATGGGTCTTTTAAAGAGGGTATCTCTGTTTCCAGCAGCCATCCATCACACTTGGACAAAATCCTCACTGGTTTTCACAGCCAGATGCTGTGGGGGCTCCTATTCTCGGCACAGGAGCTCTGGGTTGGAATGAATGGTGTGGGGCTGGGAACCTTCGCTCCTCAGGAAAAACCTTCACACATGAGATATCCCTCCTGTTTCTCAATCACTGCACATGGGTGTGGGACCAGCAAGTTTTGTGTTTCCACCCCTCTTAATAGTCTTGACATGGCTTCTTCTTTATATCCTTAGTTTTAGGACTTCTGTTAAGATAGTCTTCAGATGGTTCTTCAAGGTGATTGCTCTGTAATTTACTTGTAATTTTGATGTGGTCTTGGGAGAAGGTGAGCACAGCATTTACCTACTTTGCCATATTGATGTGGGGCTAAAGAAAAGAGACTGAGGAGATTTCTAGTCCACAGATGAGTTCCCTGATTTCTTTTTAAGTGAGCTAACAAGCCTTGTTTGCTCATCTTAACCAAAATAATAGATTCTTTCTATACTTTTGGTTGTAAACATATCATAGCTCAAGACATTTTAAAATAGGTGCTGCTGCTGCTGACTTGATAGTTAATACATCTTTGATTCAACTCTAAGTCAACAAGTATCTTTTGAATGCTTCCTATGTACAAGGTGATGTAGAAAGAAATACAAACACAAGAAACTAGGATATAACATTAACTATATCTAGTAGGACATCTAACACTATTTTTTTTCCAGCAAAACCAGTTGGACGAGAATGTTGTAAATGGGCCAGGGCTTGCTCTGATTGGTAGTGATGAGCAGATACAGCATTTTTTTTTAGCAGATACAGCTGAAAAAATAAACAATCAAGCTAACTAAAACCCCACCAGGGAAGCTATCTGTAAAGATAATTAATGATTATCTACACATATTGTTTGTTAACTATTAAGTATTTAAGTGCTCCCTGGCTACAGAAAATAGGATATCCTAATTATTCCTTATTTAATTGAGTATCTACTGTGTTCATGACTCGGTAATTGGTGCTGAAGGACAGAAGTTACATGGAGAAGTAGAAACCATCATAAATAAAGATGACAAAATTATAATTTTCCTTATGGTATAAAATAGAGGCCACATCCTTTGCTCCGCCATTAATATGCTATGCCTTGCTTCCCCTCTTCAGGAAATGTACAATTTCCTATGAGGATAAACATGAATCAAAAAATAACGAAAGTAAAAGTACTGTTTCCAAAAAGCAGAAAAGGTTTTAAATGAGAAACTGTTCAAATAAATCATATTCTATGTCCTCATTTGGGGTGAGAGCTAGAAACCTCAATTAAGAAATTCAACTGTATTGGTATCAAACAGATATAGATCGAGAGCTCAAGATATATTGAGGGGTGGGGAATAAAGAACACAGTGAGAAAGATAGGAAGAGAAAGTGAAGATGCTAAGTAAATGGATGTATATGGCCAGCCAAGTAACAAGTGAATCAATCTCTATTGTTTGCAGTATACATACTCTTACAACATTGTACAATCTCATGTGTGATGTAATTCAACAATTGAAGTGCAAATGTATTTGACTACTGACAAAAACTGAGTCTTTCCTCCTGAGAGTGAGTCACAATTGCCTTAAAAATAAACAATAAAAAATTGAAACAGAAACAAATATCTATATACCAAACCCCCTTCTCCAGGCAGATAGAACAAATAGTAACCATATCCATCACTGTACAGGACTTAAGGAATCTACTACACTCTGTTTTCAGTTCACTCAAATTCTACTTGAATTTTAGGGCCCCGTATAAGTTACATCTTCAGCACAATATCTTCTCAAGACCATTCTGTCCTATAGATATTGCACTTATGTACTATTTTATTAGCTCTCTGTACTACTTATCTATCCCTTTTATATGCCACCTAGTACTACTACTTAACTGTTTTGAATGTATACTGTTTAAAAATTATGACATTGTGAAGATAAGAGAAGGACCTGAGGGTACTTAGCCCGGAGGAGAGACATTTCAGGGGAACATTATGTAAGTATATTTTTTTTAATAATTGAGGATTTGTCATATAGAAGGAGAAATAAAAATTAACCTTTGTTGTTCCCAAAGTTTGAGTTTGGGAACAGTTTGAAGGTAGAGTTTGAAGGAAGTACATTTTAGGGTTACACAAGCAACTTATAAAGTTTATCGTGTACTTACTATGTTCCTTGTACAAAACTAGGTACTTGCCCACATCTGGTCCTATTTAACTGTAGAATGATTTTGTAATGATATAACTGAGTAACAATGAAATAGTGTGCTTTACAAAATAGTCAGCTCTTTTAATCTGAACTGTTGGAGGTAAGTATCCATTGCGTGGGATGTAACAAGACAATTCAAAATGTCCCATTTTAATGCTGATGTTACATGGGGTGTGCCCATGGATGAAACAAATTTGTCTTTAAAAACTATTCCAAGTACATGCATAGATATGAGGTCTGTCCAGAAGGCATCCAGCCATGTAATATGAAAAATAGAGATATTTGTTGAAGAAGATACAAGAAACATTGTACACAGGACAATGACATCTCAGTCGCCTTCAAATTAGGCACTTTGGGACCTCACACAGTTCTCCCAATTGCCATCAGCTGCCCATTGTATTTTCCTGAATCTCATCAATGGTTTGAAATCTCCTCCCTTTCAAAGGTGATTTTAGTTTGGAGAAAAGCCAGAAGTCTCAGGGCACCAAATATTGGCTGTAGGGGGCTGAGCCACCTGGGTGATTTGATGTTTCACCAAAAAAACTCTGCATGAGATGGGATACATGAGCAGGTGTGTTGGCATGATGAAGCTGACACTCACCAGTTGCCCATAGCTATGGCCTTCTGAATCATTAGAATAGTTTCCACAGAGGAGTGTTCATGCTTAATGCAAAATTTGATTCAGATTTGTTGCTTTACTCACTCAGTCATTTTGAATGTGATGGTCACACAGTACACATGCTCACTCAATGGTGTCTACTGCCCTCACTGACTAGTACAGTGAAGTCGTCATTGTTCATGCATGCACATTCCAGTCTACTCTCCTTGGCTGCTAGATTACATCAATGTCACACAAACCATTCTCATTATATTAACAATGGCTGGACTTTTTCCAGACAGACCCTGGAATTATCATGTTTCAGAGAGGTCACACTAAAAACTGAAACTTTATTCCAAATGATAAAGGTGCTCTACCCTCAGAGGATAAAGACCTGTCATTGCAAAGTATAAGTAACATGCTGTGGGCCCTGGAGACAATCTCAAAGGAGGACTGCCAAAAACACTCTTAACCAATGTCAGTTTCATAAGAATGAAATGTTCCCTAGAGTGAGCAGTTTGGAAGGGGGCAATATGACTTTGCATATGTTACTGCTGGTTTTTATTTTTTATTTATTTTGTATTGTATTTTTTCTATTACCATTTAGTCCCCTTATGTTCCCCTCCCCCACCACAATCAGCACACCATTATATATGTCCAGGAGTCCCTTTTCCTTTTTGCTAAGTCCTTACACCCTCCACCATTCCCCCCAACCTTAGCTGTTATCCTGTTCTCTATCTATGAGTCTGTCTTTATTTTGCTGGTTAGTTCAGTTTGTTCATTGGATTCCACATATGAGTGAAATCATATGGTATTTTTCTTTCTCTAACTGGCTTATGTCATTTAGCAAAATGTTTTCCAGGTCCATCCATATTGTCACAAAGAGTAAAACTTACTTCTTTTATGGCCGAGTAGTATTCCATTGTGTAGATGTCCGATAGTTATTTTATCCACTCATCTATGGATGGACACTTGGGCTGCTTCCATATCTTGCTGATTGTAAATAATGCTGCAATGAACATAGGGGTGCTTATGTTCTTTTGAATTAGTGTTTAGGGTCCCTTCAGATATATTCCCAGAAGTAAGATTGCTGGGTCAAAACCAGATCCATTTTTATTTGCAGATGACATGATACTATAGTTACAGAACCCCAAAGATTTCACACACAAAAAAAACTACTAGAACTAATGAATTCAGTAAAGTAACAGGATACAAAATTAATACTCAGAAATCAGTTGCACTTTTTTATGCCAATAATGAACTAACAGAAAGGGAAATTAAGAAAACAATCCCATTCACAATTGATTCAAAGGAATAAAATTCCAAAGAATAAACCTAAGCAAAAAGGTAAAAGACCTCTTCTCAGAAAATTATAAGGCATTGAAGAAAGAAATTAAAGAAGATATAAATAAGTGGAAGCAAATACCATGTTCATGGATAGGAAGCATTAACATCATTAAAATGTCTGTACTACCAAAAGCAATCTGTAGATTGAATGCAATTTCTTTCAAGACTCCAATGACATATTTCACAGAAGTAGAACAAATAAAATTTATATGGAACCACAAAAGACCCTGCCTAGCAGCAATGATCCTGAGAAAGAGGAACAAAGAGGAATCATAATACCAAATAACAAACTATACGGTAAGGCCATAGTAATCAAAACAGCATGGTACTGGCATAAAAACAAACATATGGATCAGTGGAACAGAATACAAAGACTAGAAATAAACCCCCGCCTTTGTAGTCAGTGAATATGTGACAGACGAAGCAAGCATATACAATGGGCTAAAGCTAGTTTATTCTTTAAATGGTCTTGGAAAATTGGACATATATGTGCAGAAAAAATGAAAATAGGCCACCCTCTTACACCACACACAAAAACAAATTAAAAATGGATTAAAGACTTAAATGTTAGACCCAAAACCATACAAATCATAGAGGAAAATATAGGCATCAAAATCTTGGACATTGTTCACAGCAATATTCTATCAGATATACCTCCCCAGGCAAGGGAAACAAAAGAAAAAAATGAGCAAATAGGACTACATCAAACTAAAAAGTTTTGCACAGCAAAGGAAATCATCAACAAAATAAAAAGATAGCTCACATAATGGGAGAACATATTCACCAATGTATCTGATAAGGGCTTAATATTCAAAGTTTGTAAATAACCTATAAAACAGCCCCAATCATCCCAATTAAATAATGGACAAAAGACCTGAATAGACATTTCTCCAAAGAGGACATAGAAATGGCCATTAGACATAAGAAAAAATGCTCAATGTTACTAATCACCAAAGAGATGCAAATTAAAACCATGATGAGATGTCATCATCTCACACCTGTCAGAATGGCTACAATTAATAAATCAACAAACAACAAGTGCTGGCAAGGATACAGAGAAAGGGGAACCCTTTTGCATTGTAGGTGGGAATGCAGAGTAGTGTAGCCACTATGGAAAACAGTATGGAATTTCCTCAAAAAGTAACTGTTGATTTTTAAAAGCAAATATTTTACTTTATAATCACAGCCCACATACTGTGTCTCTCCATCTCAATTACAAGTGACTGTCAGCAAAGGCATTTTTCACTCAAGATTATAAGTGAATTAACAATAGTAATAATAATAATATAAAATTAGCCCTGGCTGGTATAGCTCAGTGGATTGAGCGCAGGCCTGCGAACCAGACAGTCGTGGTTTGATTCCCAGTCAGGGCACATGCTTGGGTTGCAGGCCATTTCCCTGCAGGCCAGTTCCAAGCAGGGGATGCACAAAAAGGCAACCATACATTAATGTTTCTCTCTCTCTCTCCTTCCCTTCCCCTCTAAAGATAAATAAATAAAATCTTTAAAAAATGTTTCATTATTTATTTAAGAAACTTATAATTATCTTTAGAAAAACTACCAGTTGGGTAAGTAACACAAATGACCTACTCCTCCATGATAAAAAAATCAAATTCAAGACACTTGACCAAAAAAGCTCACGTCCTCAAAATGCTGTGGACAATAAACTAGGGAACAAAATAGAACCAGAGGCACGGATACAAGGAACAGACTGACAGCTGTCAGAGGAGAGGGGGGAGGGAAGACTGGATAAAAGAAGGTGAAAGGATTGGCCAAAGAACATATATGCATAAACCTGAGGGAAGCAGGGGATGGAGGCTAGGTGGAGGCAGTGGGAAATGGGGAGATTAATGGGGGGGGGGAAATGAAGACAATTGTAATTGAACAGTAAAAAAAATTGAAGAAAAGAAATGCAATTAACTTAAAAAATAATTGTATTAGTTTCCTGTAGCTTCTATAACAAATTACCACAAAGATGGTAGCAAAAAATAACAGCGATTTATTCTCTCACAGTTCAAAAAGTCAGAAGTCTAAATCAAGTTGTCAGCAGGGCACACTCTCCTTTGGATAATCCAGGGAAAAATCCATTCTTTGCAGCTTCTGTGGCTGCTGCCATTGTTTAGCTTGTGGCCACATCCTTCTGTGCTCCATCTTCACATTGCCTTTTCCTCCATATATCTCTTTTCTTCTGTGTACCTGTGTTTATTTCATTCTTTTTATATGGGACACATGTAAGGCATTTAGGGCATGCCCAGATAATCCAGGGTGATCTTATTTTGAGGTCCTTAACTTAATTATAACTACAAAGATTATTTTTCCACCAATTTGCATGTCATCCTTGCACAGGGGGCATGCTAATCTTCATTTCAATTTTAGTATATGTGCTGCCAAAGTGAGCAAGCACCAAAGATTCTTTCTTCCAATAAGGTAAGAGTCTCAAGTTCTGAGAATTAGGGCATTGATAGATCTTTTTGAGGCCTACCATTCAGCCCACTACAACAATCAATGTACACAAAATAAAGACATCTCCTAAAAAGTTTAGAATAGCTGAACAACTAATAATGAAGTCTTGCTTTAAAAAAAAACCCTAAACATTTAAAAGATAGTAATTGTTAATATACTTACAAAGACAATAGAGAAATTAGTTAAATATACAAATGGGCACAATTTTCATTTTTTCAGTTACATCTGCCTGTAAAGATAGTACAACTTATAATGGCACTAAGTTTAAAACAGTAAACATAAACTTATAAACTGCAAACTTTCAGTAAGAGTGAAAGATACTATGTACAAGTTTGGAAAATAGGAAGAATCCAGGACATTTTGCTTTAAAGATATCTTTAAAAACAATGATAATTTCAGCATTTTGGGATAAAGGTAGGGTGTCTTTAACCCACTTTAATGCTGATGACTCACCAACCCAAAGATTTTAGTAGTAACATTTCCATTCCTCAGTTATAATAAACATAGGCATTAGTTTATTCCTTTTGGAGTACTCAGCAAACAAACACAGAAATGTGCTAATGCTATAAAGCAGTGGTCTTAAAACTAGAGACTATATAATGACGACTTTTCAGTGGATGAAAAGCAGTGATATCTTCAAGAAAATCCATTTGACAATCCTCAACTTCCATATGTATTCTTGCCTAAATCTGAATAGTCTGAGAAAAAAATCTGTAGTTAATTCCCTTTCACCTTGGTCTTTGCCTGTCTTCCTAAAGAAATGTATACTTCTCACTTATTCTAATTCTTAATGTGTGCAAAGTCTCAAGATATAAAAATCTCCCAGGCACTAAATAAAAGAAGAATTCCAAATACTGGTGTAGGTGTTGAGGAAGTCAATTATTCTATTAACTGGCAAACATGTTTTGCCAGGTGGAAAGCATCTGATTCCTTGCTTTGAAATAAAATCAAAAGATGATGTTCAGTTTATAAATAATTAAAATAGTTTTTGATTTTAGGTCATGGTAACATAGCAAATAACTTGAAAGAAGTTCAAAGAACTGGATAACACTGATATACAAAACTTCCATTCCCACCCATTTACATAAGTAAGTATATAATCACATATCTCAAAACTACACTGGCTGGTGTAGCTCAGTGGATTGAGCTCAGGCCTGTGAACCAGACAATCACGGTTTGATTCCCAGTCAGGGCACATGCCTGGGTTGTAGGCTGGTTCCCTGCAGGCCCGTTCCCAGCAGGGGATGTGCAAAGGGCAACAATACATTGATGTTTCTCTCCCTCTCTCCTTCCCTTCCCCTCTAAAGATAAATAAATAAATTTTTAAAAAACTACAAAAAACATAAATAAAACTGGTGCTAAATGTATCATACACTGGAAAAAATCAATATTAACCCAGGAAAAAAATCCTATTCAATATGGCAACAAGAAAAATAAAGTACTTAGGAATAAATCCAACCAAGGAGGTGAAAGACCTGTACTCAGAAAACTATACAACACTGAAAGAAGAAATTAAGGAAGACACAAACAAATGGAAGCATGTACCATGCTCATGGATTGGAAGAATTAACATCATCAAAATGGCCATACTACCGAAAGCAATTTATAGATTCAGTGCAATCCTTATTAAAGTACCCATGACATATTTCACAAATATAGAATAAACATTTCAGATATGTATATGGAACCATAAATAATCCCAAATAGCTGCAGCAATTTTGAAAAAGAAGAACAAAGTAGGAGGGAATCACAATACCTGATACCAAACTGTATTACAAGGCCACTGTAATCAAAATAGCCTTGTACTGGCATAAAAACAGGAACATAGACCAGTGGAACAGAACAGAGAGCCCAGAAATAAACCCAACCCTCTACAGTCAATTAATATTCGACAAAGGGGGCAGTAACATAAAATGGAGTAAAGATATCCTCTTTAACAAATGGTGTTGGGAGATGTGGACAGTTACATGCAAAAACATGAAACTCGAGCACTAACTTACACCATACACAAAATAAATTCAAGGTGGACAAAAGACTTAAATATAAGCTGTAACACCATAAAAGTCCTAGAGGAAAACATTGGCAGGACAATCTCAGACATTTACGCAGCAATATCTTCACAGATATGTCCCCTAGAGCAAGGGACATAAAGGAAAGAATAAACAAATGGGACCTCATCAAATTAAAAAGCTTCTGCATGGATAAAGAAAATAGCATTAAAATGAAAAGAGAACAAACCATATGGGAATACATACTTGCCAGTAATACCTTGAACAAGGGTTTGATCTCCAAAATGTATAAAGAACTTACATGACTCTACTCCAGGAAGACAAAAAACCCAATTATAAAATGGGTAAAAGACTTAAACAGACAATTCTCCAAGGAGAACATACTCTGGGCCTCCAAGGAGGGCCCAGAGAAACATGAAAAGATGCTCAGCATCACTAGCCATCAGAGAGATGCAAGTTAAAACCACAATGAAATACCACTTCACACCAGTCAGAATGGCCATCATAAACAAATCAACAAAGAAATGTTGGAGAAGTTGTGGAGAAAAGGGAACCCTAGTACACTGTTGGTGAAAATGCAGACTGGTGCAGCCACTGTGGAAAACAGTATGGAATTTCCTCAGAAAACTAAAAATGAAACTGCCTTTTGATCCAGCAATTCCACTGCTGGGACTATACCCTAAAGAACCCTGAAACACCAAGCCAAGAGAACCTATGCACACCAATGTTCACAGCAGCACAATTTACAATTGCCATGTGCTAGAAGCAACCTAAGTGCCCATCAGTAAATGAGTGGATCAAAAAAACTATGATACATTTACACAATGGAATTCTATGCAGCAGGGAGAAAGAAGGAGCTCTTACCCTTTATGAAAGCATGGATGCAACTGGAGAGCATTATGCTAAGTGAAATAAGCCAAGCAGTGAGGGACAAATACCACATGATCTCCTCTTTAACTGGAACATAATCAACAAAAGTAAAAAACAAACAAAATATAACTGGAGTCATTGAAATTAAGAACAGTCTAACAATAGCCAGAGAGGAGTGGGGAAGGGACAGTGGGAAGAAGGGTTTTCAGGAACTAGTATAAAGGACACATGGACAAAACCAAGGGGGAGGGTGGAAGCAAGGGAGAAAGGAGGGTTTGGAGGGGGTGGGAGAAAATATGAACAATTGTAATAGAAAAAAATTAAATAATTTAAATAAAAATAATAATACATAGATACATAAACTAATAAAAAAAGCCCTATTCATTTAATTGGTATATATTGGCTATAAAATTTTTATAATTTTAATGAAGATTCAATCCATAAGAAGTTTTAACAGTTTGGGATTTAGGGCATCAGAAAAACTCTTTTAAAAGGAGTGTGTAGCCCTGGCTGGTGTAGCTCAGTGGATTGAGCACGGGCCTGCGAACCAGACAATCGCGGTTCGATTCCCAGTCAGGGCACATGCCAGGGTTGCAGGCAGGTTTCCTGCAGGCCAGTTCCCAGCAGGGGATGCACAAAAGGCAACCATACATTGATGTTTCTCTCCCTCTCTCCTTCCCTTCCCCTCTAAAGATAAATAAATAAAATCTTTTAAAAAAAAAGGAGTGTGTGTTTGTGTATATACATACATATATACTTTTATAACTATACAGAGTTCAAAACAGCTTGTGACTGGAAAGGATTAGCCAAAGAAAATATATGCATAGCCCATGGACACAGATGACAATGTGGTGAAGGTAGTGGGGAAAAGTTAGGTGGAGGGAGACATCTGTAATAGTGCCAACAATTTTCAAAGTCAGCTTGTGGAACAATTCTCTGAGAGGTAAAAAGACCATAGAAGTTTAGACAAATAAGAATGACGTTACCCCTGGCTGGTGTGTCTCAGTGGATTGATCACTGGCCTGTGAATCAAAGGGTCACCGGTTGGATTCCCTGTCAGGGCACATGCCTGGGTTACGGACCAGGTCCCCAGTTGGGAGCACGTGAGAGGCAACCACACATTGATGTTTCTCTCCTCCTCTTACTCCCTTTCTCCCTCCCTCCCCCTTTTTAAAAAATAAATGAAATCTTTTAAAAAATGACATCATTTGTGCTACCAAGGAAAGCTTCATGGAAGCATTATTCTGGTTTTTAATATTATTTGGTTATTCAGTATTCAGGCATTCAATATTTAGCACCTAATATCAAGACACTATTGCTTAGTATTATACAAGGTTTCAAAATGAAAAAAAAAAAACAAGGTCTCTGACTCTTCAGAGTGTATGATTTGGTTAGCTAGGACAAGAATAGTAAAGATTTCAATAAGCAGAGATGGAAAATTAGTAGGCCACAGGTGGATGAAATAGCACGGTGGTGGATGAAAGAGGGAAAAAGAAGGAAAAAAAAGGATCAATGAAGAACAATTTATCGGAGGACTTCCACCAAGATGGAGGCATAGGTGGAAACACTTTGCCTCCTCACACAACCAAATCTAAAAACAACAAAGTTTTAGCAACAATAAACATAGCCAAACCACAGAAAATTGAACAATATGGAGTCCAACAACAACGAACCACTCAGCTAGACTGGTAAGAGGGGCAGAGCCAGCAGTGGAGCGGGTCGGGCAAAAAAGATCCCCGGACCCAAGCAGCCAAGGGCAAATCCCAGGTGTGGGGTAGCAATGGGCGGACCCAGTGAAGGTGCAAGGTGGCTGGCTGACTGCAGTCACACATTTGTGCGCAGATAAACCAGTGAAGGAGAGAGCAGTTGGACAGACTGGGCAGGCCCCAGCAGTGAGAGGCAGCAGAGGGGGCTGCCATTGCCCCGCTCTGACCCTGCCCCCACATACAGTGTCACAAACCAGCAACCTGGGTGGCCCCGCCCTGGTGAACAACTAAGGCTCCTCTCCTCATACGTAACAGGTGCAAACAGATCAAAATATGGCTCAAGAAGAACTCAGAGC